GGAGACACTCTGCATCTTTCTGTTTGTATATTGTACATTTCTGAATTTTAGAAGAGATGATTATATTCAGATAACCTATGGATCCTCAAATCAAACGTATAATCTTGTTGCAGAGATTAAAAGCTTTTAAGTGATTTTGTGCTCAGATATTGTAAAATAGATTTATGCATGTATGTGTGATGAGGTCAATTATGTTCAGCTGCCTAATATATCCCCAGTCTTACTTCTGGGAGGGACTGAAATTTTATTTTGGTTTCAGTGTCCCCAGTTGACGGCAAACTGCAACGCTGCCATGTATGTCTCAGTTCTACCACTGCCAGCCACTTCCATGCATGTTGATGTCTTTGGCTTAGAAAAAGGAAACAGGGAGCACCTTCAAGATGTGAAGGAATCAGAGCTTCATTCCAGAGGGCAGGAGACCTAAAATATTTATAACATTCACAGTGCAAGGGATGGGGGGAGGTATGCTTGATATCGTCTTTCTCAGCATCTGAGGTTGAGTTATAATAATACACCCCCCTTTCCTCTCAACTTACCTTTAAAAAAAAAGTAACACAAAAAGGAAATACTTTTCATGTCATCTGCATGAGGTAATATACAGTGTTTCTTAAAAGCCAGGGAAAAATATGATAGATAGGTCAAACATAATCTGTTGGCATCCCTTTGCAGTACTGGGTACTAAGACACCTTTGCAAAATTACAATTTTGAAAAGCAAACTGAAGCTAACAAATTGCTCATATTTCCTTTTCTCCTTTCTCCCTTCTTCCTCCATTCAGTACAGCTGTTTTTGAGGATGCCCAATAAGAAGAAATATGAGGAAGACAAGTTCAGAGAATGAGAAAAAAATTCAACTTTAAATGAGAAAGGGAGAGGGAGAAAATCTGCACATCCCCATATCTTGGGATGCGAATGCTTCCCAGGATGTATGGGGGTAGAAAGAGTCAACAGCGTCTTTACTCTTCTTTTCTGAACTGTGGGAAAACATCTGGGATGATGAAGCAGGTTTGTGGTAGATGTAGAGTACAAGACTAGGTTCCCTGTTTCACATCCTCACATGCATCACATCAGGGTGGAACAGTCTGGACTTCCACCATGTTGACTGTTTCCTCACTGAAGGCAGTTCTGCCTGTTTACAAACCACCACATCTCTTAATGTTAAATTCCTCTTGGGTTAGGGACAAGTCTAGCATGACTGGATTTCAGGAGTTTGCTCTGGCTTATGCTTTGAGCCTTCCTGGACAACCACAGCCTGTTGTTCTCAATGAGACTAATTACAAATGAGGCAATAAGTGCTTTCATACAAAACAGCTGCTTCCAGCTCCCTATCTGCACAGCAAATGAGCCTTCACTTTTAAATTTTAAATTGTTACTTTTGATGTAACCCTGTGTTTAGACCAGCTGTATTCCTTTACATTAATAAAAATAATGTTTCACTGGTTTGAAATTCCACAGGGTAGAAAAGTGCAAAACACTGGTTGAAGTTGTCATCTTGTGAGTATTAGTTCCACAAGAGAGGCTTTCCCAAACTCCTAGAGATCGTTCAGGCCTCTGAGGGACTATTGTGGGCTCAGCATAGCTCTGCTTTCCTGTCCAGAAAAGAAATTGTAGCGCTACAACTCCACATGCATCTGGGCACAGGCATCTGTGAGAACTATCGCTGTTACTTTTAGGAAGAAGAGACATCCATTAGTCAAGGTTTGAAAAGAAAAGTTTTAAAAATAAAAAATAATCATAGAAATAAGAAAATTTTTTAGTAAGAAATGTCTCTTTGAAATAAAAAAGTAAATTTCATTCTGAAAATTTGACAGAAGCCTTTGACTATTTTCAGTGTTCTTCCATTTTCTTTTGTGGCTGAAAACAGTTAAAATTTGTGATTTTTCCATCAGCTGCATCTACATTTTTTGGATGGAACAAGCCTCAACAACGGGGTATTGAACTGTGGCTTCTTGAAGGAGTAGAACTGTTGTCAGCATGTTTGTATTAACCCTTCAATGAAAACTTCTGCTTTGGCAGACAGAAGCTGTCAAGGTGCAGTAAGAGTTGAGTCCTCCTTGGGAGCCACGGGGCTCCTGGTGTGGACTGGCAGCACAAGGGTCTCAAAGCCAAGGCCCATCCCACTGCCCCTGGCCAGGGAGCAGGGTAGGCAAGGGGGCAGCCAGAGGCAGCCCCAGGCGTTGGGCATCTCCATGGGAATGGAGATAGACTGAGGTCACACCAGAACATCAACCCGATGTCGGGGTCAGAATCAGGTCCATTGAGGGGAACCAGGGTCAGACACATCCCAGGATGTCTGGGCAGGTCCATGGTGGGAAAGCAGTGAACTAACAGAACATCAAAGACCGGTGTTGCTACCGTGAATAAAGGTCACTGACATTCTCTCTCATGAACCAGGGACATTGATCTAGTCCTGGTCTAATGAATCAGTGACATATTTAAATGTTCTTGGAAGACTCCTATCCAGTTGTTGACCTAAATAGGATTATAGTACCACACAGCAAGCTTTAATTTCAGTACTGCCTAAAGGCAGAAGAGAGTCCAGCAGATTGAAACAAAGGCTGACCACGATTAGAGGCGGTGCACAACGAAAAAATGTACAAGCACAACTGTGGTTCAGAGTTAAAAGTCAGACAGATAAAATACTGCATGACTCTGCTTCTAATTAGAATGAAAAAGATGTGTTCTCGGCAATTTCTCCTTTATGCTCATATGAGAAAGAAGAGTTAATTTAACTACAGTTAATTTCATGCCCTCTGTAATGTACCCAATTATATCGTCCTAATTATTTCAAGCCCTCGTGTGCCTTGGTTGAGTGCCTTTTTTGGAAGAGGACATTAAATAACGATTATCCTCCTCATTAATACAATGCACATTAAAGAGAAAACAAACAAGATGTGGATAAAAGGCATAAATGCAATTTATATTTTTTACTTACTTTCCCCCTGATCTTTCCAACAGCAGTAACATTAGTCATGGAGACATCAGGAGGCTTGGAAATTTTTTGTCTTGTCTTGTCAGTCCAGTTTTGCCTGGTTAATGTGTAAGGGTGTGGGTATCCTAGAAGCTGGGCTTTTCTGAGAGATCAGCTATTATTAACCTATAGCACTAAGTTACAGTTGCAGAAGTTGAGACTTCAATTAGCTCTAATTCATCCTTGTTTTACTAATTCGGACAATGAAGCAGAAAGTAGTGAATCACAGTAAAGAATAAGGTAGGAGTGTAACAACATTTCTTGTGCATGAAGACTAAGATGAGGCAATATTAGTGCTATCTCATCCATATGAAGGTAGATAGGACTTGGAGACAGTGTATGAGGCTGTGACTTCTGACATCTCACCTGATTAGGAGTATTGTGGTTAAACGACATGCCATGGCCTTCCCCATGCAGTGAAAACTGGGAGTGAGGGTAACAAGCACTGTGATCAGAAGATACTTTAGTCTGAACACTGTTGCACCGATGGTAGAACAGTCCCCAGTGAGCTCAGATAAAGGATTAATACAAAGAATAACATAATCATAGAATCATTGAATCATAAAATGGTTTATGTTGGAACAGATCTTGAAAGATCATCTAGTCCGATTCTCTTGCCATGAACAGGGGCACCTTCTACTATACCAGGCTGCTCAAAGCCCTGTCCAACCTGACCTTGAACATTTTTGGGGATGGGGCATCCACTGCTTCTCTTGGCAACCTGTTCTAGTGCCTGACCACCCATATTGTAAAAAATTTCTTCCTTATATACAATCTCAATCTACTCTCTCAGTTTAAAACTGTTGCACCTTGTCCTGTCACTACAGGCCCCACTAAAAAATCTGCCCTCATCTTTCTTGTAAGCCGGTAAGCCCCCTTTAAGTACTGGAAGGTGCTACAAGGTCTCCCTGGAGTATTCTCTGAGCTGAACAACTCCCAACTCTCTCAGCCTGTCTACATCGGAGAGGTGCTCCAGCCCCCTGCTCATCTTCATGATCCTTCTCTGGACTCGTTCCAGCAGGTCCATGCCCTTATGGGCCCTAGAGCTGGATGTGGTACTGCAGAGTCTCACCAGAGCAGAGTAGAGGGGCAGAATCACCACCCTCCACCTGCAGCCCATGTTGGCTGGGATGCAGGGTAGGGTTGTCTTTCTGGGCTGCAAGTGCACATTGCTGGCTCCTGTCCAATTTTTCATGCACCAATATTCCTGAGTTCTTCTCTTCAGGGCTTAATGTATATAATATAAGGGTCTAGATAGGATAAAGGACAGTGTCAGCTCATATTTTCATTTATGCATACTTTGTGAATTGCAGAAATGTATATGCTGTTTATGGAGCAATCACTGAAGTGATTTCTTCATTTTGTTGTATCAAGATAAAAAAAGAAAAAAAATTATCTACTGCCTGCGTTTAAATCTCAAATCTCAAGCAACTGGATAATAATGAGCTGTTTGGAGTTGGAAAGTGTAGCTGGCCTTCAGTAGTCTCCTCCTTCCCACCTGTTCTGCATATTGTTTAACTGGGAAGATGAATAATGATTCAGCTGTTTCAGGCTCTTTCAGATTCCTTCTCATCTGGGAGTGAAACTGCAAGACTCATCAAGCATAGGGTAATAAAAACATGTGCAGACAGAAATACCCCGAGCCTATATAAGCTGAGATTGCTCCTGCCATTTGGCTCATGTAAAGATTCTTTAAATCCTCTTACAGTAAAGGGCTGTAGGACTGATAAAAGTGTGCCTGCCTGTTTTGTAACAAGCAGCAAAGAAGCACTGCTGAGTCACCTTCGGTGTGAGCTCACTCTTTCATTACTGAGAGCAGGTGTCGCATGCCTTTTCTGATGCAACTGCTGGTAATTGCTCTGCCGTCACCCATTGTGTCACTTGGCATCATGGGCAGAGTCAGCTGATGGTATGAAGGAGAGAGGGTCAGCATCTGATACCAAAGTACAAACAAATTCAGGTAAACATTACCTCACTGAGGAGAAAGGGGGGAATGGTCACAGTCCAAATAAAAAGCAGAAAGGATACAGAAGTCAAAGATATAAAGGGAAAAGTCTGCTGCAGGAACATTACTTTACTCTGGGCAGAGTTTTTGCATCAGCCAAGCACGTCCTGTTCAGCTAAGCAAAGGCAGAGATAAAAATAGAGTACCCTAGCAGGTGAGTGTAAAAGCCCTTCTTGGATAAAATGCACTTGAAGAGCATCCTGGATCTGTACTCAGACACAAATTAGACTGCAATTCCATGTGCAGATATTCAGCATGATACACTGGCTCCAGCCACTGTTCAGCAGATCAATGTGTTTCTCCTCTGCTGGCTCAAAATGCTGGCAATCAATAGAGTCTGGATAGGCCTGGTAGATCAGTATCCACATAAGTGCATCTATCCCAGCATTTTGAGCATTATTTCCAATAATTTGGAAAAAAATGTAGATTTTCCTTTCTTTTATTTTTTCTGTCCTTGCCTAAATATAGTCTAGATGCTTATGGAGAGCATGTTCTTTTCTAATTCACTGGCTTCAGAAAGTTTTCGTCTCATAAAAAGTATACATACATGTGCACATGTAGTCCAGTGGTTCAAGCTCTTGACCTGTGTGGGACAGCTTAATTTACTTTCACATTGGAGACCACTTTTATCAGCCTGGTAAGGTCCAGTTACCAGGACAAGTTACATATCTTGTCTGCCCAGTGTTGTACTATTAAGCAAATACTGCAGTTCAGTACACAGCTTACAGGAAGATTACATGCTTGGAGTGGGATTCAAGGCAGGTTGTAGGCTAAGCAGGGAACTGCAGGATGTAGCTGAGATAGCCAGGAGAAAGAGAACTGCAGGGCCTGGGTGGGTGGGGGCAAGATGCATGTCTGCAGGATCCTCACTCCCAATCCAAAGCTGGGACACTACCTCAAAGTGTACATGCTTACATGTGTAATAACAAAATTTATGTGAAGAACTGCTCGCCTGAGACACTTATGTGCATGTAAATGTACTCCCTAAGGTACATGTTTACAATCTGCTTTTATGGGAACTCAAAAAGTCTCACTTATTTCCTCTGAAATGGTGACCAATTTCTTATTGTCAGTCCACAACCTTCTTTTCCCAACCACATTTTGCACAGTAGTCAGTGGCTGAAACATTCACCCAGGTTGTCAGTGGTCCAGGTTCGAAGTCCCTCCTCTGACTGGGGAAATGCTGTTAATTATCCAGTTGCCAAGATGGATTTGGGCTATCCTCCAGAGCTCTTGCTGAAGCTGTGCAGCTGTAGCAGAGGACTCAAGAATTCCTGGGACAAAAGAGAACACAAGCAAGGCTGACTATAGTCTCCTTGGAAGGGAAAGAGTTGGGTATTTGTCACTGTCAGTTTAATAGATTTTCCTTGACACAGTCACTAGATATAGCACACATACTCTGCTGATGGGGCCAGATAGCAGTGTAGGTAGAGTCTGACTTCTTTTGGCTGTCCTTGGAGAGCAAATAAAACAGAGAATGAACACTTGCTACACTGCAGGCTTTTATTCCTGTAACTATTGGCATTACTTTTTAGCCTTAATTTTCTGTTCTGGAAATTAGCTTTCTAAATCTGAAGAGGAGAAAAACTCTTCAACCTCTTCTACAGGCTGTCTCAAGCCAGCAGTTCTTCACATAAATTTTGTTGCACATGTTTAATTTTCAAAGTACTTCACAGCCATTTTTCCTTAGGTAAGAGATTTTGAGGACCAAAAAGGGTTGTAGGATTCCTGTGCTTAACCCAGACAAATAGATCCTCTCTCTTCTCCAAAACCTCAGTCAGGTGTCCCATCAGTACCAAACACTGGAACGTTTATGATCTTCCAGTTCTATGTTTCCTTATTCATTTGTTGCTTCTTCTCAAACTGGGATGTCTATCCTGCACATGGATTTTGGCAAAGAAACCTGATTGTGGCACTCTGAAAGTCTGCTGCCCCTGAGCAGACTGCTGCCACAGAGCTAAAGTGAAGATGATGAGCCCTGGTGCTTGTTAACTTGCTTACACCACCCATTTCTTTTCTGCTGTAGTTCACCTCTTTGAAGCAGGAGAAGATGCTGATCCGTGGAAGACAAGTATTTCACTCAAGTATTCCCCAATCACCTTTAACAAATCCAGTTGACTTCTGACAGAAAAAAAATTGCAACCAGCTGTTTGCCTTGAGGCCAGCACACCAAGCCAGGCCAGAACCATAAGGCAGTGCAGATTGCCATGTTATCTGCTGTCTGCCCTTCATACAGCTCAAAGGATGTTTATCTCCTGATCTGCCCGTGTTCATCTTTGCAGGGGTACCAACTCCATCAATCTGCTCCTGAAAGATGGTCTAAAATGCCAGCAGTTCACAAAAAAAAAGTGGGACTAATATAAATGCTTTGTGAAGATACGACTGGTTTACTGTTGCCTGGAGAGATTCTCTGACTGTATTACTGTACTTTGAATTATCCTGAATATCACTGCAGAACTTCTCTTAGCAGCTCTCCTTTCCTGTTATTCTTGCTCACATCTGTTCACCGTAGTAATGGATATTTTTTGGCTGTAAGCAGTTATGCAGCATGACACTTGGCGAATAGATGTCTGCATGTGCAATAACTACTGTTTTTTTGAAGACTCATTTGGCTCTTGTCCCCTCTGGGTGAAATAAAAATATAAATATATTGCTACAAACTGCTCTCCAGCCTTTCATTGCTGCTGCTACCTTTTTGACTGGCATTGCTTATTCTTGGGCTTTCCTCTGAACTGAACTCTTGGGAAATTCTAAAGGATTTGATTTTAAGCTTCAAATTTATTGTTCCTGTGTTTGTTCAATGACAAGTTATGCTTCTGCTATCTAGTCAATGGCATATCTGTTCTTTGTAAGAAACAAGCTGTTTATATGTGATATAATTATTTCCACTAACCGCTCAGAACCCAACTGATCACTCTTACAGCCATAAATGAATCTGTTTGACAACCTGTTCTTCGCACAGTAGGTAGTCTTCTACCCGCCAGCTAATTTATCACTGCATCTGCCTGGCTCTGCCAAGGGATATGTTCTAGTGCATTTATTCTGTCTCTAAAAGCTTGTGACCGGCCATTATCTTGAGAGGAGAGACTTGTAGAAGAACAAAAATTTTATGGTGTGTATTTCTGTCTTTGTGAAACTCTTGTCTGCAGTGTCTCAAAGCGACCTTCTCCATTAGTTTTTTTCGTTCTCTTTTACAGTCTGTACTTCCCAGTAATTGCAGACCCCCAGCAGCCCAGCTGGTTGGCCCAGGCTAGAGGAGAATGTTTCTCGGTGTTGGTGAGAAGTGCTTAATTGATATTAACATGGATGGAAATGGTCTGTTCAGCCATAGGACAGACATCGTTTGGTACATTTTCCTTCCCTCTAATGCTATAGTGCTCATGCAACCTGAAAGGACCATCTGTAGATCTTTGAGATTAGTGCAGGCCTGTTTATTATTTGGCTTTTCTGTTGGTGTCCTATCTGTCTAGATCTGCTGAGCTAATTGCCTTGATATATGAATGTCAGGGTTGCCTAGGTTTCTCAGCAGGCAGCAGATTTTTTAGCATGCATTTATTCCTAATTCAAAGTAAGTCTAAGAACCTGCTGAACTGAGCAGCCACCAAAATGGGAAAACCTTCATCATCCAGACTGTCTGAATCAAGCTCTTCTGCCATGCTGCTAAGCAGTGTTTCCATGGTCTGAACTTCGCATTACAGTTTGCATTTTTTTTCTCAGGGTTCAGGTTCAAGACCTTTCCTGACACATCTCCCTCTCCCAGTTAAAGCCAAAGCTCTGTATTTGAATTACATGTGGGCAGCAAAGTTCACAGATGATGGAAAAGAGTCAAAATAATATCACCTGCAAGTTGAGTCTATTTTTTGATCTCCTGTACAATATGTGTCTTTATTCTTCAGTAGTAGGATCTCCAATGTTTTAACCTTGTCTTCTCACATGCAGAGGAGGATTAACACTACCAGAAGTAAAATTGAACATGTCACTGAGAAGAATGGACAGGTCAGTAACTTATCAATAATAGTATCATCCTTTCACCAAGCAGACTCCAACACAGAAACATGTCTTGTTTCTATTAATATTTCATGGAACCAGCTGGTACTACTAGATCCAGACAGTCCCAATGAACTTCATTTTAGCCTTTTTATTAGCTTATAAATGTGATAGGGTTGATGGATACCATTTAATGGAACGCTTTCCACCCTGCTCCCCCCTCCCTTCCCACCCTGAAAAATCTGACATTCATAAATTGAGGAGGTCAGTAATTTGCATCCAGCTGAGTGGCTGTCTGGCTTTAATGAGATGATTTGTAATCATAAGCACTGCACTGCAGTGATGTCTGGTACAGGGGAAAGAGGAGCACGTATGCATACTCCAGCTGACGTGAGGGAGAGGTGATGGGAGGGAGGGAAAGCACATGGATCAGAAAAAGGAAGTAAGACTGGAATGACATAAGGAGCTCCATTAAATGTAATACAATAATGCTGGCCTGGTTAGCATAAGAAGAGCCAGAGGCTGGCTGATGCAAGCCAGTGAAACTCCTGTTACTTAGGGTAGGCAGGCAGCTTGCAGGATTGCACTTATCCAGAGCTCTTTAGAATAGCTGAAAATCACGGGTTTGTTTTTGCCAGCTTTAAGCCCTCAGTGCCCTTATTGCACAGATCTGTCATTCCTCTCCCACTTCTTATATAACAAAAAAACTTCCAGACCAGGAAGGCAGTTCAGGGGCTAATGAGGTTATATGTTGTGGCATTAGCATGTTTCACATCAGCTGTATTTTCAGTGATTTTCCTAAACAAGTGGATCACGTTCTGTCTGAGTGTATATTCTTCCTCAATCTGATGCATTTTTAACCCACTGGCTCTTTTCATTTCAGTCACACAAAGCAGTAGCAAATTCCCACAAGTCTCGGGCAGGCAGGTAGGAGAGAGATGGAGACTATTAATCCATTCACTGGGGGAAAGACTCAGAAGAGAATCCTTCTGAGAGAGAGATTTTTAATTCCCTGGCTTTGATAAAAGCTTCACTTGGCATCTGTTTCAGATCAGACAGCCACGAATCCCACCACAGGCACAAATCCATAGGAAGTCAGGCTGAGCTGGCTCTTCTGCACACACAACTACTTTCTCTGGCTGACTATGAGAATTTTGCACCTCCCAAAGACTATCTTTCCCTTGTCTCCAGGGTTTCTCTCCTCTGTAGTAGCAATTCTCTGAGATCGTCACACGATACTTTTTCATTAGGGATCCCAGCTGTGGAGGACTAGGTTTCTTTAACCATGTTTCCAGCTGTCTTGAGTTATTCTGCAGCAGCCCAGCTGGACCAATGTAGTTTCTCGTACAGCTGCAATGGAGTAGCTTGGATCAGCTTTAAGGTTGTTATTTTAAAATTCATTAACTACATTATGTAAAAAAAAAAAAAGCAAGTGTGCAAACTGATCTATTTGGATAAAATCCACATCTAAGGAGAAGACACTGACATGAGGAAGGGGGGCTGCTGGTTCACAGTGTCTCCCAGTCCAGTTTTTGATGCATGATAGTGTGGTTCAGCCCACAGCCCATATATGAGGGGTGGTATCTCCAGGACAGCCTGCAGTCAGGTCACATTTTGAGTAAGCAACCCTACTATCACAGGGCTCCCTCCCTTCCTTTGCCAGTTCATATCAGGTGACTTTCAGCCCTTTTCCACCTCACGTCTCTCAGTCACGACCTCACATCCCCTTCCTCATCTGCCCCTGAAGCATGAACATCCTTCCTCTCAGACAACAAAGAGCTTTTCTCTCCCCCTCTCCTGAGTTCCTTCTGTAAAACATACATGCTTGATGTGTTTCCCTCCCTGCAGATGTTTGTAACTCTGCAACATAATCTCTCCCTCCTCTTCCCTGGGGAGACATTACCCCTACGTTAAGTACAGAGATTTAAGCTACAGGGATGTGTGGGTGGCCTTTGGAAATCGTACCAGTAAGGCGCTTCTCAACCAGATTTTCAGTTCCGATTGAAAAATAAGAAACAGCCCAACTCTACCCAGCATGCAAAAACCAATAGTTTACCTTTTGGGACAGAAGGTGTCTTCAGTAACCCAAGGGTAAAAGCTTCCTCTGGGTAAGATAAATACCCTATAGATGGCTCTTTTTGAGCAGAGCCCTGTCCAGGAAGCATGTCTCCCAACCTCTCTACATTTCCCAGGCTATGTAATTCCATCAGCAGGTCTGTGAGCTGACAGTATCTCCCATAGCTTTTTCACAGACGCACTGACTGCTTTGCCAGGTCCTTAAAAAGTACCAATCTACTGTGCTAGGTAAGCAAGAAGAGTATTATTTGTCAGAAAGGAGTTAGTTTTGTATAGTCTTAATGTTAAGAACATAAATAAACAGAAGGTCGTGAGGAGGAAAATTTGTTTTTACTGTCCCTCTAATGTACAACGTCTCCTCCTTGTCTAGGGAGTATCCCACAGATGATCACCTCTCGGCCAGCAGTGTACTTTAGTGCTGTCGTTCAAGCTAAGAAAAACCTTGAAACATCCATTGGTGCTGTTTTATTATTTTCCCAATCATGTTTCCTGGACTTGACTTGTCCTGTCCTTTTGATCAATAGCAGATGACCCAGCATGAGACGTGTTTTGGATTGATTTAGAGTGCTTGTTAGTACCAACTTCTAGATCACTTTGCTGAGCTTCCTCTTTTTGATGTAGTTGGCAATGGATAAGGTCTTAGGCTGAGATTTTCAAAGGGCACAACAACTGAAGAGTCCAGAACACTTAAAGCTCTCCAGACTCTGTTGAAAATCACAGCTTAAGAGTGCAAGAAATTTGCTTGCTTTCAATTATAATATTTTCAAGCACTCTAAGGTGCACATAGCTGCTTTATGGGGGTTTCAGAGGTGCCTTTCAGAAGCT